AGGTTTTAGAGGTCCCTTCTGTGTCATCCAATACAGTCCCAGTGGTTCTATAGAGTCACTCAGGGTTGTTGCTAAACCCTTTTCTCCGAAAAGGTCTTTGTACTTGTCATGTCTGTGGCTTTGTGTTTAAACAAAGATATTACCCCTGCATAACCTTTGTAGGAGTCTATTACAAAACTTAATCCTAAATGTCACTCACATCTCTTTCTTTCCTTTTTTTGACCTATTCCCAGTTCAGAGTGCTGTTTGATAGTGTTTTTAATATTTTGTAAATAAAATGATATCCTTTGAAATACCTTGGACTGCAATGTTAAATTATAACCACTACTATGGCCTATGTACCACAGTGGCGAGGCCAGACATTTTAAAGTCAGTAGACCTTGGCAAAATAGAGTGGACCAATGGCTACCAATGGCAAAGAGCTAAAGAGCCAACCCAATACTTCAGCACAACTTCTCCATTCAGCTAGGTTCGTCAACCACCAATCTTAGAGTGGTGATTGATGATCAGTTAAGCTTCACAGACCATAATACTACAACGCCCTGGTCCTGCAGATTTGCTTTATACAGCATTAGGAAGATTAGACCCTTCCTATCAGAGCAGGCCACATGACTCCTTGCCCTAACACTTGTTCTCACCAGACTGGAATATTGTAATGTTCTTATAGCAGAATGCATTCGGTGAGGGTGGTCTTCAACAAGCCGAAGAAAGCCAACATCACACCTTTCTTCATCAGTTTTCACTGGCTGCCATCAGTCACAAATTCGCATCAAATTCAAGGCACTAATGCTTGCCTACAAGACAACCACTGGCTCTGCACCAATATAAACTCGCTAGTTCAGACTTATGTGCCCTCCAGAAGCTTGTGTTCTTGCAAGTGAACGACACCTCATGGTGACGGCAAAGAGGCACGAAATCACTCTCACAGACCTTTTCCTGGACTGTTCCCAGTTGGTGTGATTACCTGCCTATCTCAATTCAGGCAGCTCAGTCTTTAGCCATTTTCAAAAAATTTCTAAAGACAGATCTTTTTTTTTTTCCAGCACCTGACCAATTAATACTAGCACTTACCTTTTCTATTCTATACTATTCTATTTGTTTAGTTTAAAAAAATGTATGCAGGGCTCTAGAGTGTGACCAATTTGGTTGCACATGCGACCAAAATTTGTAAGAGTGCGACGACAATTTTTCCGAGGTCGCACCAGTGCACCTAACGTTCTTGCATGATCGCATCCGCTGCCTTTCCACAAAGAGTCTTTTGTTCTCTTTGCATGCATGGTTGGATCATATCGTGGTCGAAACCAATCAGAGATAGAGATTGGGCGGGTCTTTGCCTCTAATTGGCTGTGGTTCAGATATTCCTGTAGGACTAAAAGGCTCCTGTGCTCCGTTCTATGCTGTTTTCAGTTGATGAATGAATGGAACATTGTAGCGAGCATCCCATCCAATAAATCGCAATAATCTTTGTGCTTTGTTACTAATTATATGAAACAAACTCTCAGATGAAAAGGTGAGCTTGAAATTGTGGCGACGCGACACGAGGAAAACTTTTAGTGCACCTAAATTTTGTGCTGGTGTACCTAAATAAAAAAATTAGTCTGGAGCCCTGGTATGTGTACTGTGCTGAATGCTTCCATTGTTCTCCTCATTTGAAAATCACTTTTGATAAAAGCATCTGCTAATTGTTTAATGTTAATGTACATCAAATTACATCGTTTTACAATATATGGGATAAGAATGATTTTACAATTAAGATTAGTTAAATATGATCTATTGTCAGCCAACAGTTTCATAAACTAATGGAACTAAATCCATTCATTAAGAAAATAAGACAGAATAAGAACAGAATAAGAACAATAAACAAAGATAAGTAATCATAGGTGGATCGTTTGCAATGGTGAGCAAGGTTAAGCCTTCTCCTGGCCACACACTCGAGACTAGCTGGGAATTTTCTCACTCAAACCACTACCTGCTGCTGCTTCTGGTTGCTTTTAGAGGGAAAAAAACTGCCCAAATCTGCTGGTCTAGGAACAGGTTTCTCTGTAATAATAGCATATTGGCAATTTGGCAGGCAACCCCATGCGTATGTGTTTTTGCACTATGGAGAGTGTCAATGGTTTCTATTTACAACGTGTTGATTTCTGGAAGCAGTGGCCAACCAGAGGTGCTTAAGTTAGAATCAAAGCCCCAGAGTTTATATCCCGTGCCGAGTTCAATTCTTGCAAATTCTCTCATTATAACAAACAAACATTTTTCATGCTTGACCAGCAGCCATGTACGCGTTGCAAAGTTTTCAACTTCCAAGTTCAAAGAGATTATTTCTCTTGTTAAAACAAGCACACTGACAAGATAAATGACTGTGGTCTAATCTTACCACTAAAAATCTGTATGGATAATATGATACCTTTAGAAAAGCATCAGAAAACACAGCAGCTAAAACTCAAGAACAAATATAGCTGCGAGCAGCGATGATGGGCCCAAGCCGGTGGCACTGCAATCCCGGTTCCTTTAGTTATCTAAAGGCACCGGGGTGGTGGTGCCGCTGGCTTTGGCCCTTTCATCGCCGGCAGCTTTGGCCCTTTCATATATATATATATATATATATATATATACTTATATAATATATACTTATATATTTAAGTGACAAGACAGGATATTGCTTGCCTGATCTGATTAGAACAATAATGTAAGTGTGTATATATTTGTCTGTGAATATATATATTTGTGTACACTCGCAATATAACACAACATTGTGCTTGTGTCAAACTACAAACTCTTGTCAAACTGTAACCTACAACTGTCACGTAACCAAAATCCCCACGTAAACTTTCATCCTCAATGTCTTGACTTCATGCTGACCGAGTTTCGTTTGTTTGAATTCTCTAGGAGGAGTATTTCAAATTCCATTGCATGCGTTTTCCCAACAACCCTAAATAGCCGACTTCCTGTTGGGCTAGGGTAAAAAGTAAGAGTGTGAAGTATATATGAAACGATGAGATCTATATATGTACCGAGTTTCATATTATTACATGCAAGCGTGTTTGATTTATGGACCAAGTTTTCGGAGAGCGTTGCATGGGGTGCTGTCGAGGCCCCCTGCCACGCCTGGGTACCAGCTTCAGCCCGGCCCTGATGGCCACGGGTTCTGACCCATGTGCAAAGTTTCAAGAGTTTTCGCGCATGTAGAGAATAATTTCATATTTTCTGTACATATAAACACTCCAAATATACGACAAAATGCATTGGTAACACTTTACGGTAAGGGTACATGAATTATCATGAATTCATGTATAAGTTAATGCATGAATTATGCATTCATTCATGCATTAATATCTCATGAATCATCAGGAACTTACACAAGTTCAACGTTTTTTATTCATGACTTCATGAATGAACAACACCTTAATTAAGTCATTAACTAAGATGAGCACATCATCATGAATTATGATTTATTACGCATGATCATGATGTTTTCTTTGTTCACAGTTATGCCACCTTTCAATAGCACATTGTTCATCAGTGTTTCAAAGGACCTAGTCACCACTTTAGACCACACACATGATGTGGTCTAAAGTGACCACACACATGATGAAGTCATTGATAGATAATGCTTAGTTAATGATGACTTCTGTATTTGATTTACAGAATGTGTGTGCTATGAGCTGTGATTGGTCTATTATTGTGTCTGTCCAAAAGTCATCATTAACCAAGCATTAATCTATTAATGACTTCATCATGTGTGTGGCCCCTTAAATAAAGTGGTGACTAGATCACTGACCTAGACAAAGAACAAAGAAAACATCATGATCATGCGTAATAAATCATAATTCATGGTGATGTGCATATCTTAGTTAATGTTTTAATTAAGGTGTTGTTCATTCATGAAGTCATGAATGAAAAACGTTGAACTTGTGTTAGTTCCTGATGATTCATGAGAAATAATGCATGAATGAATGCATAATGCATGCATTAATTTATACATGAATTCATGATAATTCATGTACCCTTACCGTAAAGTGTTACCAATGCATTTAAGGGCTAAGAAAGTGGATTTTCCATGATATTGCCCCTTTAAATTCATGTATTTATTATTGTGTTGTAGGCCCATGAATGATTTTTTTTCTCCTTCGCACAAGTTTTTCTGTACATAAGATATTATTTCCACAAAGCGCTGTACTATTTATGTGAAAGAAAAAATTGTGACGTTAACTTTTTATTCCTCTCCTTTAATATTTTTCTTTTTTCCCTTCTTCACCCCCTGTGTGTCTTTCCTCCTCTGAAAACCTCATGGATCTCTCATTTCTATACTGTTTTCTCACTCTCTTGTTTTGTTCGTTTCTTTAGTAATTTTCTGTAGAGGATGTTTATAATAGATTTGAAGTTTTGTTCTCTAATTATTTTGTGTTGTTCACATTTAAAGGAATAGCTCACACACAAAAAAAAATGTAAATCACTCAACCTTGTGCGGTTTCAAACTTCATTTCTTTCGTGGAACAATAGGCATAGTTTTAGAACATTCCTGAAAAGAATGGCCAATATTGTGAAACTGAATAGAGGTACATGAAATTGGCCATTTAAAAGTCTTTGTAAACTAATCTTTCTTTTGAATCTCATTGAATCATTTTACCGGTATATTCTACAGACCTTTTTCTTTTGTGTTCTAGGGAAGAATGAAAGTCATACAGGTTTAGAACAAATGATGACATAACTTTCATTATTGGGTGAACAAACTGTTTTGACCTTGTTTTGATCTGACCTCTCCACAGATCATTTCCTCTTTTCATTACCTAATTTTGTTTTTAAAGTTCATGTTTGCTTTTGGGGGTTTGTACTAGTGTAAATTGATTATTATGCTTGATTTGTCAGTATAATCGTTGGTAAGTGCTTCTAGCCGAGGGGAGAATTGTCAGCTTGTGGATGTACAGTTTATTTCCCATTGAAATGTACTTTGTTAGCTCAAAGCTCTATTTTGTACAAATGATCTCACTTTGTTTCTCCAGGTGACCCCCTCGTCTAAGATTGTGGGTGATCTGGCTCAGTTTATGGTGCAGAACTCTCTCTCTCGGGCTGATGTGGAAGAGAGAGCAGATGAGCTCTCCTTCCCTCTGTCTGTTGTGGAGTTTCTGCAAGGACACATTGGAATACCACACGGAGGATTCCCTGAGCCCTTCAGGTCAAAGGTGAGATCACACTGTTTAATGAAAACTGATGTAGAAATGCATCCATATTTCTCATTTCTCACTTCCTTGGAGATTTTTTTTTTTTTTTTTTGGCATTACATTCAGTCATTTAGCAGACAACTTTTATCCGAGGCACCTACAAATGTGGACAAACACAAGCAGTTTTTTTTTTTTTTTTTTTTTGAGAGTCCGGTTGAGAGTGACTATGGCTTTGGTTTTGAATAATCTCTAGACACCCATAGAGAGAAAGAGTGTGAGCGAGAAGAAAATGAAAAGGTGAGATGGATGCTATAAAGTGAGATTTTCATAAAATCAAGAGAACAGCTTTGTGTGAATCCATCACAAAGTGTGTGTGTATGTGTGAAAGACAAGATAAGAGTAAAGCTTCACCGGTGCCTGTGACGTTTCCTCCTCCTTGTGCAGAAAAGACTTGCTGAAAAAAGCAGATCGATACACTATAATGCACAAACACACATCTACAGTCGTATGGTCACAGGAGAGACTTTTGCTTTATTTTTTTAAATGGAGTTGTTACTGAGGAGTGAGGACAGACATCCTGCTTTTGCAGTCGAGGGCAAATTAACTTTGATTTCCTATTTCTCAGGCATACACAGAAAGACAGACAAACCCTTTTGAAGCACTCTGAAGTCCAAAAATGAAAGATCAAAAGCTGTTTATCAGCACTGGCAGCATTTCCCTGTAATAGAGCTCAACGTGTGGCCTCACTGTAACCGAGAAAAATAGACAGAAAAAGACTTTTTGAAAGATTTTACCATTTCATATAGAGACTTTAATTATGTGTCTTGGTAGGACAGATAAAAATATAATAAAGTGTGAATGAAGTCAATTAAACTTTGTAAGTGTGACTGACATTTGCAGACTGCTTTAATTAACCTTTTCTCACACAGAATCATGAGGTCACTTAGTAAAGCTGATATTGACTTACTTGACTTGTAAAAAAAATATGACTTACTTCTCCACCAGGCAACAAAGATGTTTCTGGTGGTGCCTAAAAGTGTGATCATTGACATAAATTTCCCAGTAATTACAACAAATCCAACGCATACAGTATACTTTGTGCCTTGCTCAAGTTGCTTAAAATGTGTAAGACAAGAAAGCTTTATGTAGCGAGGTGTTAACCCCTCATTAATATTGATAGGTTTGATAGCTGAGAAAGACAAAGACCCTCCCCTAATGGCCCTATTAGGTGATATCATTATGAGGAGCCTTGCACAAAGAATGAGGAGAGACTTAAAAAAAGAATGGCAGTGCGTCAGCAAAACTACTTCTTTACTAAGACAACTATACACTCACCGGCCACTTTATTAGGTACACCTGTCCAACTGCTCGTTAACACTTAATTTCTAAGCAGCCAATCACATGGCGGCAACTCAGTGCATTTAGGCATGTAGACATGGTCAAGACAAACTCCTGCAGTTCAAACCGAGCATCAGTATGGGGAAGAAAGGTGATTTGAGTGACTTTGAACGATTGTTGGTGCCAGAAGGGCTGGTCTGAGTATTTCAGAAACTGCTAATCTACTGGGATTTTCACGCACAACCATCTCTAGGGTTTACAGAGAATGGTCCGAAAAAGAAAAAACATCCAGTGAGCGGCAGTTCTGTGGGCGGAAATGCCTTGTTGATGCCAGAGGTCAGAGGAGAATGGCCAGACTGGTTCGAGCTGATAGAAGGGCAACAGTGACTCAAATAACCACCCGTTACAACCAAGGTGGGCAGAAGAGCATCTCTGAACGCACAGTACGTCGAACTTTGAGGCAGATGGGCTACAGCAGCAGAAGACCACACCGGGTGCCACTCCTTTCAGCTAAGAACAGGAAACTGAGGCTACAATTTGCACAAGCTCTTCGAAATTGGACAATAGAAGATTGGAAAAACGTTGCCTGGTCTGATGAGTCTCGATTTCTGCTGCGACATTCGGATGGTAGGGTCAGAATTTGGCGTCTACAACATGAAAGCATGGATCCATCCTGCCTTGTATCAACGGTTCAGGCTGGTGGTGGTGGTGTCATGGTGTGGGGAATATTTTCTTGGCACTCTTTGGGCCCCTTGGTACCAATTGAGCATCGTTGCAACGCCACAGCCTACCTGAGTATTGTTGCTGACCATGTCCATCCCTTTATGACCACAATGTACCCAACTTCTGATGGCTACTTTCAGTAGGATAATGCGCCATGTCATAAAGCTGGAATCATCTCAGACTGGTTTCTTGAACATGACAATGAGTTCGCTGTACTCAAATGGCCTCCACAGTCACCAGATCTCAATCCAATAGATCATCTTTGGGATGTGGTGGAACGGGAGATTCGCATCATGGATGTGCAGCCGACAAATCTGCGGCAACTGTGTGATGCCATCATGTCAATATGGACCAAACTCCCTGAGGAATGCTTCCAGCACCTTGTTGAATCTATGCCACGAAGAATTGAGGCAGTTCTAAACAAGAGGTCCTCGCTGCAGTCTGTAGCACGATGACGTAGCTGGACGGTCCAATACGTGTTGGACCCTGTAACGCGCGCATGCGCACTAGTCAAGTCAAGTCATCTTGATTTATATATCGCTTTTAACAATTTAGATTGTTTCAAAGCAGCTTTAATTTAATGTAACAGATTGTTTTTGCTTTATAGCGGTTCATGAATAATGTTATTTTACAGCTAGTTAGTTTTGATTCTGTCGAAATGATAATTTGTTATTAAATTAGGGGATGACACCGTTCTCTCTAAACAGACTTTAAACGCGATCCTGTGATAAACGCTAATGGCACATGCACATTAAGAATTCATAGGCCTAGTTAGAGAGTTGGTGAACAATCGTTGATCTTCCAAGAATACATTTAAATATGGTCACGAGCGAAGCTCTTATTTTCAGAGCTTTCAGAATAAAACCTTTTTTTTAATAATTGCGACTTTTTCCTTACAATTGCGAGTATACTTTTCGCAGACTTTATTTCTCAGAATTGTGAGATATAAAGTCAGAATTGCGTGAAATAAAGCCTCAATCGCATGTTATAAAGACATAATTGCTTGAAATAAAGCCTCAATCGCATGTCATAAAGACATATTGCTTGAAATAAAGCCTCAATCGCATGTTATAAAGACATAATTGCTTGAAATAAAGCCTCAATCGCATGTCATAAAGACATATTGCTTGAAATAAAGCCTCAATCGCATGTTATAAAGACAGAATTAGGTGAAATAAAGCCTCAATCGCATGTTATAAAGACATAATTGCTTGAAATAAAGCCTCAATCGCATCTCATAAAGACAGAATTAGGTGAAATAAAGCCTCAATCGCATCTTATAAAGAGAATTAGGTGAAATAAAGCCTCAATCGCATGTTATAAGGACAGAATTAGATGAAATAAAGCCTCAATCGCTTGTTATAAAGACAGAATTGCGTGAAATAAAGTCGCAATTGTGTGCTATAAAGTCAGAATTCTGACCTTTTTTCTCGCAATTCTGAATGTATAACATAAATGCGAGTTTATTATTACAAGATTTATTTTCCCCATGCTGTTATTATTTTAGCATTTCCCTTACTTATTCATCAATAATTACTTATAATTATTTAACAGTATTATACTACACAGTTTGAACATCATCTCAGTACAATATTGAGCTTACATATCACTTAAAACCAATGCATTCGAATTATAATCAGAGATCGGCACTGCGCATTCGTAAACGTCACCAAAACACACACATCCATCCACTACGTATTGGACCATCCAGCTACGTCATCGTGCTACAGGCTGCAGCGAGGGGTGTCTCGTTCTGAAGGCAAAAGGGGGTCCAACCCGTTACTAACATGGGGTACCTAATAAAGTGGCCGGTGAGTGTACATTTGTTTTTAGAAGTTGGTCATTTATAACATTGATAGTCTTGAAAGTTTGTAATGGGGAGTTGTACAACAAAACAACCCAGAAAATGACTCCAATCTATTAGTTTCAGTCATACTTTCGATATGTTTACAAGACTACAAACTCAGCGGATAAAAAACAAAACACACCCGGGTTTGATTTGGGTTGTGCTAGCCTGTCTGTGTGTTACATATACTAAAAGAATGCTTATATATAACAGTTTCTGGCTAGTTTATAATACACAACTTTCACCCCAAACTGAATAATTGAAGAGTTCAGATGCAAAAGCCTCTAAATGCCATTTGAAATTTTCTTCTAAAATGATAATTTTTATCAAGCTTGTATATTTAAGTTCAGTGATTTCACTTAAATGGCAATGAAGATTACCTATTAATTGTCATTTAAGTGAAATTACTGAACTTAAATATACAAGCTTGATAAAAATGGTCATTTTAGAAGAAAATTTCAAATGGCATTTAGAGGCTTTTGCATCTGAACTCTTCAATTATTTTTTTTTTTACCGGGTAGCCTAAATCTTCTATAAATATTTGATTTAGTCTTATAGTCTTTATTTTAATTTATTTGCCTATACTCAAGTTCTTATTAAAACTCACTAGACATACTTATTCTGTGCATTTTGGACACTTTTTGTGTGAAATCATATTTATTTTTGTCCATCAAAAGGGTGCTTCCACTTTAATTTCAGCGTGAACAGTGCAGCAAAAACGACGCCAAAACCCCCGCTTCACTGCTGCTCACGCACCGCTCTTGCTCAACGCTCATGTGCTGCTCCTGCTCCCGATGTGAATGCACTCATTGATTAACATCGATCGACATTTTATAGACATTCTTAGCACCCAATAAACGGCTCTGGGCATTCGTAAACCACGTGTTCATTTCAGTTCAGTCAGATGTTAACCAGGCTAGCATTAACATTGCATTCAATGGATTATTTAGCTGACAAACGTCTTTCCTTTCTATAGACAAAATATCGAAATAGTTTTGAAACGTTGTTAATTTTGAAAATTACATGATCTAGGACCTTTATGCAGTGCATGTCATTGTAAAGACGGAAAGTCTATCCCTCAAAGCCTTGAGTTCATCCGTATTAAATTCAACAT